AATTATCAGTTTCCCCCACTTCTTGGGTCCCCCAAGGTTTTTCATGTCGGAATATTGATCCCGGAATATTGACCTGGATTCATAATGTTCCCGGAATATCGACCCCGGGTTCATTACTCTGGAATGATAATGGCTGAGCCTGGGGGGCGCCGTTTGAGAGTACGTTCCGGACTGAAATATACTTGTGGAGTATTCAGTATAGGTTGATTATTCCGGAAAGGTAATGATTCGACCGGGGGGGGGCTGAGCCCGATACAGTCACAGGACAATCATCCATAGGGTATCATCTGAAGATAATGAATCTACCACCTTCGTCCTTTGATAATCAACCACGGTCGACGAGGATTTCGGATATGGCCTCAGTGCCACCGTACACACACGTCCCCCACACCCATGTCGGCACACCCTCACACGCTTCGTGGCCCTATAGGGAGCTCCACCAAAGGCCACAGCGCCACCGTCCACACGGTTCCCCCGTACCCATGTCGGCACACCCCATCACACGCTTCGTGGCCCCATAGGGAGCCCCTCCGAAGGCCTTAGTGCCACCGTCCACGTCCGCCGACCGCGCGGGGAGGCCACAGTCGGACCCTGCTCCGCCACCCCACGATTTCTGGGGGGGGGGGGAGGAGGAGGAGGAGGAGGAGGAGGAGGAGGAGGAGGAGGAGGAGGAGGAGGAGGAGGAGGGAGGAGGAGGAGGAGGAGGGAGGAGGAGGAGGAGGAGGGGGAGGGTGCGCATGTGGCCTCCTGCACGCCTGTGCGTGCCCGAGGGCGCGGGGGCGGAGCTCGAGTCGGGCCTCCCTGGCAAGCGCTCTCCTCCTCCTGACTGACTGACTCATGGCTGATGTCTCCTCCTCCTCCTCCTCGATCCGCCTCCTCCTCGACCCTCCTCCTCCTCCTCTCCTCCTCGATCCCCCTCCTCCTCGTCCCTCCTCTCCTTCCTCCTCCGCCTCCGCCTCCTCCTCCTCCTCCTCCTCGATCCTCTTCCTCCTCCTCCTCCTCCTCCTCATCCTCCTCCTCCTCCTTTTCCTCCTCCTCCTCCCCCTCCTCTTCCTCGATCCTCCATCTCGATCCTCCTCGATCCTCCTCCTTCTCCTCGCGGCCCCGGCGCGAGGTCGGGCAGCCCCCAGAGAGGGGGGGGTCCAGCTGCGAGTAAGCGCGCGCAAAGTCCTCCCCCTGGGGGATGAGGGGCGCTGCGCGGCAGGGCCTCGCTCTCGCGGCGCTCGCGGCGGCCAGCCGCGCCCTCGCACGCGGTGGCCTTTCGGAGAGGGCCTCACGGGGCCCAAAGGTATACACTTAAGTCGGGCCTGTCCCTCTACAGGGGGAAGATTCAAGAGTAGTAGAAGAATAGTCCGGGGACGATGTTTTGAGTATGTTTGACCATTTTGGTGCATTCTTGGGGTATTGGGGGGCATTTTTCGTTCGAAATCCCCCTGTAGGGGGACAGGCCTGACTTACGTGTGCACCACCACCACCTCCCTCGTCCCCTCCCCCTCCCAGGAGAGAGGAGAGGCACACGAGGGTGGGGGAGGGAGGAGGAGTCGACGTGGTGGTGGTGGTGGTGGTGGTGGTGGTGGTGGTGGCGGTGGCGGTGGCGGTGGCGGTGGTGTGCATTCTCAGGGGGCCTGGCCTCGCCGTCGAGGATCGAGGGAGTTGCCATCAGGAGGGGAAAAAAAACAAACCGACACGAGTGATCGTCGACTCCCCAGAACATACGGGAAAATATGGGAAGTGGGGGGGAAATCAAGAATCCAAATATATGTATATATATATATATGAAAATATGGGGGGTCCTGTCATTTGTGTGTATTTATTTGTGTGTGTCCCTGGGCCCCTTTAATCTCCTCCGCGGCGGAAGGCAAAAGAAGTCGGCCGAAAGTAGAAAACGAGGCCGGCGCCGCTGGCGGGAGCTGGCGGAAGGGTGGCTCGGGCCGGGCGACAGGGGGGGATTGGGAAAGGGGGGGTTACGAAATTTGCTGCATGCAGCTGGTTTCGGCCTCACCGAGGGGCCCATTCCTCGATTCATGGGCGCCTCCGGCGCCGGGAGGCGCCGGGAAGATCAGCTACGTGAGCTGATTCTCACCCCCCCCTTTGCTATCCCCCCCTTTCGCCCGACCCGAGTGGCGGAAGCCGGCGGTGGCCAAAGATGCGCCTCCAAGAGTCGAGCAGTGGCGAAGCGTCTTGGCTCGCCTATAGCCCTACCAAACAGTGTTCTAAGAAACTCATTTGTGGCTTCCACGGAATGTTCTTAGAGCATTTCTGGCTGAGATAGTTTTTCCATTACCAGCACATCGGGATTATGTTCTGAGAACCTTGTTTTTGTTGTTAGGGCATTCTTGGGTTCTACCAGCATTTCGTGGCAGGACCTTAGGGATGCGGGGACGGTCGCTCCCTGCTCAAAAAAGATGAAAACGTTTTGGGGTTCAGGATTTCTGGGGTCGGCCACTCGTGCTTGCGAGGTACGCATGCGTGGCGTCCGCCGTGAGCGCCTCTGTGCGCGCCGTGTGGGGCGCCACGAGGACGACCGGCAGCTTCGGTGGAGCTGTGTTCGAACAACCCATGGTCCAACAGGATCCATGATGTTTGTTACTGCTTTTGTTTGTTCTCTCTCTCTCTCTCCCTCTCTCTCTCCCTCTCTTGCCTTCCCCGTTCCTCTTCACGAGATCTATGGGGGGTGCCTCAGGGGGGGGGGAGGAGGAGGAGGAGGAGGAG